TCCTGCTGATAACTGAAGATCCTCCCTGAGCCAAGGAGGTAATTCTCTAAAGGGGCTAGAATTAAGAGTGCCCCTTTTCTTCTCAATGGAAAGCCTATGGAGGAAAAAAGCTACCAGGAAAGTGAGTAATCACGGAAATCAAAACCCAAACTGACTCAAATGCTTCCTCCTAGGTCAATATTATGTGTTTAAGTATGCCTTACATGTATATTTACTTGAGAGACCCTATGACCTTGTAGAAGCACTTAGCTGAACCCTTAAAAAAAACGAGCAATTCCCAAATCTTTATATGCATACAATTAGGAGGCAATAAAATGCTGGATTTGCCTCAAGTGCTTGGCCCCTATTACAGCCCTAATATTTAAATACCCTTTTGTGTGTGTCATCCCACAGATGGAGTTTGGATTGCTTTCTAACAATAAAACAAGTGAGGTAGAAAGGGAATGTTATGAATAAGTTACCAATGTAAATGTGCTATTTCGTGCCTTTGAATTTGGGTGATGGTAAACATGATTCCACACATGGAAATTAGAACTTTCAGAGCTACTACACTGAATCTAATTTGTCTGCATAAGTACGTATAATAATGTGGCTGCTTATACTGCAGTAAACATGGGATTTTCCAATGAACAAGTGAAGTATGTGATAACTCCTTACAAATGGAACTGCAGCAAGTGGCTTTCGGCAAGGGCCTACACACCAAGAGGATGGGCAAAAAGGACATCCCACTCCAACCTCCTGAAAATGAAAAAAAATCATGTGGCCTCTGGTTCTACATGTTTTTCTTCTTGAATAGAAACAGGATTGAAGTCTCACAGTGAAATGATGGGAGGCTATTGCTACTTTTGCATTGTCGCACTACTGAGCACACCGCCATTCTGTTCTTCCTGACCATAAACCTGGGGATACTTTAGTAAAACAGTACAGAGATATCGTTTTGCTTTGTGGGTAAGGATGTGAGTCTGAATCTTGTGTTCTACAACTCAATAGAGGCTGACTTTATCTAAGTCATTAGTTTTTGCCATGCTCATTTTCCTCATTGGTAAAATGGGGATAATAACTTTGCCATCCTCAGAGATCTGTCAGGGGATGCAGTGAGATAATTTATGAAAAGGCCCTAGCACATGATTAGAATTCAATAGAGTAGTTGCCATCACCTGTTTTATAATCATCATTGTCATTATCACCATTATTTTATTTAACAGTATCTTCATTTTCATCCATGATTCTCATTTTCATTCAAAGTTCACTAAAGACACTGTTTAGTAATTAATTAATTCATTTAACCAGGTATTTATTGTGTATCTAATATGTGATGGCACTATGCAATGGGCTGGGGTACTAGGATCATCAAAGTCTCATGGAAGGGCTGGCTCCATGGCACAGTGGTAAGGCACTCAAGAGAAGCCGAATTTATAATACACTTTGTAATACACAGCAACTGCTATTCAAATCCCTGGTCTAAACTGTCTGAAACACACCAGGCACACATGCAAGTGCCCCAAAATTGGAAAGGTTGTAAGACTACTGAAAGAGGATCATGGTGTAATCACACTCTCTTGAAGGTGCTCATCTCTCTTTCTCTCACACATGCACACACACATGCTCTATCATAAATCATGAAAAAAATGTATAAAAAAGAAAAACTTAAGGAAGCGATTTGAGGAGAGAGTCACTAGTCAAAGACTCCCACAGAGAATGTATCCTTTCAAGATGAAGGAAGAGTTGTGAAGGAAGGAAACAAACACTAAGAGACACTAAAACGAAAGAAATTGAGTCAAACCTGCAACCTGAAGATCAAGAAAAAAGGTAAACAAGGGATGGAAGGATGGCTTTCTGAAAAGAGAAGACAGTGAATCTACAGTTTACCATTGGTGCAGAACCATTCATTGGCTAGTCCAGTGTTACTGAACTATATGTTAAGCACTACTATGAGCCAGGCAATGTACTGAGCTCTGAGGATACAGCGATGAAGACAGATATGATTTGTGTCCTCAGTCTTACCACCTAACATCTATTTCGCTTTTTGAAAAAGAGACTAAAGCCAGTATTTACTTAGTTATCAATTAATTCCACTATCGGTTTTAATCCCAAATAAACTGTATATCTGCATGCATGCATGCAAAAAAAAAATGGGATAAAAGAGTTCAGACAAGAACTGTTACGTAAATCAAGCAATTACCTTTCTGCCTTAGTGGCCAGGATACCTATAACAAAATTTAATTAATTCCATGGGCTTACTGACTAATACTACTAAAGATGGTGATATTTCTGTTTCATATTTAATTGTTCTACTACTTGCACAACCTATATGACAAAATGTAAATATATTTTCAAGCCCTTTAGTTTTCTCCACATAGGAAAGTAAAGATTAATATAATCTATCTGGTTAACTATCAGGAAGAAGGGAAATCAACTTACATGAAATTTAGAAGACACCTACTTTGTCAATATTAGAGCATTATGTCCAGCCAGGGTGTGCTGTTTAAGGTGGCTGAATCCCATCTGGCTGACTGCTTGATTCGCATCTCAGACCTGACGGCTTAAATAATATGCCAAGCACATACAGGTGGATGCCCAAAATCCCAAAAGAAGGAAGTAATGGAGAAGAGATTGCAGCATGACCATCCTCCAAGGGGGGAGGGTACTTTCTCTTTCTTTCTAACTTTCTCTCTTTCTCCCCATCAAGCATGTGCCCTCTGGCAAAATTAAAAAAAAAAAAAATTAGAGCATCCAATGGGTCAGACAGTGGCTCAGTGTTAAAACACAGTCCTCTGAAGCCTGACCCACATAGGAAGGTGCTGGGTTTGTGTCTGGAAACCTTTCAAAGTATAAAGGGCCCATACCTCCCATGATCTAGGGCTGGCTGAGGCACAGGTGGATCACAGTGTCAAGACCTTGTTGGGGATGCTTTCTCTGTCACTTTCTCCTTGTCTCTCTCACTTATAGAAGAAATAAACTTAAGGGAAAAAAGTAGAGTACTGTAGAGTTCTAGCTTGTGTATGGCCAAATTAATCTAATTCTTTCAAACACACACACACACATACACACACACACACACACACTGCATTTAAGGAGATATTAAATCATCTCATCCTTGTCCTTAGCTCAAGATATTAATGAGACTTTCTGAATTAATCTCTGATCCCAAACTGTGTGTTGATGTGATATAACAGCAGTAAGGAGTGTACAGCTTTTTGCTTGAAGTAGCTTTCATGATGTCTCAATTTTCTGACAGGTAGAAAAATCTTTAAGATTAAATCATTTCTGTATTCTCCCAAGAAACTCTTCAGCGCTAACAAGTATACCACTTCCCCAACTAGTTGATAAACCGAAAAGAAAATATTATTAAGTGATGGTACTTGAGGAAATAGTTAAAAGGAGAAACTCAGAAAATAAGATTTTGATTATATATAATGAGGAGATTCTCAAAATGGCATGGTGAGGACAGGAAGGAGTCACAGCTGAATAACATATGTTTTTAAAAGGTAAGTTATTCTGTAAAGCAATTACCAAAATG